TTATGACCAGCGGACCTACTCGCCCAGAGACGGAGCAATTCTTCAAGAAACACGGCTACTTTGGCTTGGATTCGAAGAACGTCATATTCTTTGAACAGGGTCTGTTACACCATCCTATACAAGTGTGCATAGTGCTGATTGAGCCGATACACATGTAGGCACATTGCCATGTCTCACTTTCGAGGGCAAGATCATGCTAGAGACACCTTCACGGGTTGCTGTGGCACCCGATGGCAATGGCGGGCTGTATGCAGCACTTCGTCAACCCCTCACTTCCGATCCGTCCTTCACTGTTTTGACCGACCTCACACGCCGCAACGTTCTCTATATCCATGCCTACTGCGTCGACAATTGTCTTGTCCGTGTGGCAGATCCTGCCTTCCTTGGCTACTGCATCCACAAGCAATCCGCATGCGCTGCGAAAGTGGTCCCCAAGCAATCACCCACCGAATCCGTAGGCGTAGTCGCCGTGCGCGACCATCGATTCTCCGTGGTCGAATACAGCGAGATTACGAAAGAACAGGCGGAGAAACGTGACGCGAAGTCGGGAGAGCTTGCCTTCCGTGCAGCCAATATCGCCAATCACTTCTATACCACACGGTTTTTGAATAGCATCGAGTCATTCGAAGACGACATGCCGTTCCATATCGCTCGCAAGAAGATACCCTACGTAGATTTCAAGAATGGTCAGACCGTTAAGCCCTCCAAACCAAACGGGATGAAACTTGAACTATTCGTGTTCGACGTATTCCCTTTTACTCAAGAATTTAATGTCCTCGAGGTGTCACGAAACGAAGAGTTCAGTCCGCTCAAAAACGCTCCCGGCACGGGGTCTGACGATCCAGAGACAAGTAGGAAGGATCTGCTCTCACAGCAGAGGCGCTTCTTGGAGAGCGCAGGTGCAAATGTGGCAAATGGTGTAGAGATTGAAATATCTCCTCAAGTCTCGTACGCTGGTGAAGGTTTAAAATCTGTACGAGGTAAGATGTTTACGAGATCGGGACAGGTAGAAAGCCTGGAGGCTTTGGATGTGTTGATATAAAAAAAAGAATTACTAGTAGATTAAATGGACTTATGACTTTTCTTTGCGCAATCAATACTCGGACTTTTGCTCTGTTCATCTCGGAGGCTAATTACTTGAGACCGTTCTGGACTTATGGACTTGAGTCGACTCCAAACAGCCTCTTTCTAATGGGTAACAATCAATTGGCAGATCGCATTATTTTAAAGCTATCCACCGCTACTTGTAGGGCTAGAACCATCAAATAGTTTAGTACTCCTCTTTTCCAGTTCTTCCCGTAATCGAAGGAATAGCCGTTGGGCTCGATCTGGTGTAGGCTGCAGAAAGATAGGCTCAGATCGGAACATGCCAACATAATACGTGCACATACTTCTTCACAACAAGCTGGGGATACCGATGCATAAGAAGGTCACTATTGCCATAGATTCCAGTTAGCACGCACCTCGAAGATCCTCAAGTAGCCGCGCTTGCGAAGAATTGATGTCATGACTTTGTTCTTTCAGTCGCTGTAGCTGCTGGTGTATCTGAGAAGACTGTTCCTTGAGCTGGTGAGCTTCCTCGTTCAATTCTCGGGTCTTGTCGGCAGTCAGTTCAATGCGATCAGCATGCATAATTTGGGGGTGCCTTGCCTTAGCCTCGTTCTCAGCGGCCTTCCGTCGTTCCTGCTCAACTAGACTTCGTTGCTCTTCTGCTCGAGCCCGCGAGAGAAGCACCTCTAGTTCCTTCGAGCGTATGACACACTCGAAGTGCTTTTCTCGTAACTCGTATTGCCTTAGGACATCTTTGAGTCGTTCTCGAACACTGTCAGGGGGTCATTCGTTTGGGATAACATGGATAGAAAGGGATAGAGGAACTTACACGCCATCAAAAATATCCTCAAGCGCCTGCTTAGCTCTGCTTAATCAAATAAGAACGCTGCAAGCATCCATGATGTGGCAGAACTGACTCTTGGGGATTATTTGTCCAATTCTTCTTTAGACGTTCTCGTTGAGGTTCTGGTACCTCCTCCTACAAATATGGGTTTCGATCAAGCGTGCAATAGACGGTGTAAAACGCACGCTCTCGTCCTTCGTAAGGTCCATCATTTCGACTGCTAAAATCTCGTCACCATCCTCCATCCCAGCATCCTCCGGCGTCTCTTCCGGCTCTATACTCCGGCCCACATGTGTAAAAAGAAACATCATTGGTGTTCGCTCTCCCTGCGCGTCGGTTTCTTGTGCTTCCCGCTTCTCTTTCTTCCCCGACCCGTTTCCTTCCATCCGTTCGGTCCATGCGTTAAAAAGCCTGCTGAGCTTTGTCTTCCGAGATATTTTAAAGAATAACTCAGCGCGGTATTTGCAGACAACTTTGATGACAATATCAGGTGAATCTTGGTATTTCTTCTCTTTCTTCTTTACTTTGTCGGCACGACGTTCCATCTCGACCTTTAGGTTATAGACCTGATGTCTTTGTTCAGATATACCGGCCATGGAAAGCTAACAGTGACACTATACCTCGTCTTGGGCTTCTTTCACGCTCACACCCATCGTGCGTCTGTCCTCCTGCCAGAAATAGGTCAACTCTGCGACAGAAGATACAAGTACGATGTATTTACGCGTAACTTCTTGTTTTCCTGATGTAAATAGGTCGCAGTATTCAGTGAAATTATTGTTAGGTTGTCTTCCTTGTTACCTTTTGTAGCTCTCTGGCTACATTCTCGAACCTAGTCTTATTCTGATTCGCCTTAGTTAATTGGCTCTTAGCTAGTCGGAAGTTTATGTGGATGAGCGATGCATACTATATAATTGTAAGATAAGACATACCGTTATCCTTATCCTTAACAAGCTTCTGTTTCTCCTTTGCATGCTCTCTTTCTACCCGCTTCAGTTCTTGATACTAAAGTAAAGCGTTAGGCCAGGTTCGAACCTTCACTGTAATGTCGTACCAAATCAATGTATTTTGTATGCACAACAGAATCTGACATGCCCTTTACAGCTCTACGAGCCTCCTCCGCTATAGTGAAACATCAGCATGTAAATTTCAGCCATGATGCAGGACATTCGTCCAACTTGGAAGTGTTCACGCACCAATTCTCCTTTCCTCCTCCTCCCCATGCACCTCTTCTTCCTCAAGAGCTGCAATCCTATTCCTTACTGTCTCGTACATAGTTGCCGGGTCCACGGCTTCCGCCTTTTTCTTACCTTTTTGTGGCGGGGCGGTGTTCGCTGCGGGTAGATGCGCATGTGACGTTGCGCCATTTGCTGCAGTACAATTTGGACAATGCTGTAGATGCGGCTGAGAGGTCTTGGTATTACCTGTAGACGTGACATTTGGGGGAACTGGAGGCGCAGGGGCAGGCACTGGCGGCGCAGGTCCTGTAGGTGCTGGTTTGGCAGCAGCTATCCTGGAGTTTTGGTTATTTGGGACACCGTTTGTTGCCATAGGCAATGTTCACGGCGGCGGTAATGAAAGAAAATGGGAGAGCGCCAGTATTGATACTTTGAGAAATTTTGTCTGACGACGGAGTGTGCAGACAATTTTCGTCCGTCCGATCGTTTCGTATAAAGCGGCTCTTTGTTTGTACCCCGCGACGTGGTCGTCTATAAACAGGTGGCGTTTCCTTTGCCCTCAACTCTTGTCCATCAACCACACTTGCGGTTTCTCACCTGCTATTTCCTTGTCTTGAGCACAACGTTCTGCGTAAAGAAGTCATGACAAAATCAAGCCTTGACCAAGGACTCAAGGATCCTCAGCTTTTTTTAACAACTTATACTAAGGCATATTCTCTATTTCTCATGTTGAAGTTTATTCGAACGGAGTGTCCCGGTGGTGGTCAGAGTCTGCCAGTACACATTCTCCCTACTATAATGACATGCAACTGTCTACTTTTGGGCTATACTTCATCCGGCATCTTCTGGCCCGAATCATGGCGACGGTGCGGTGGTATGTTACGACTGACCTGCCGGGTGAGCTGTGCTTCGGTAATTCTAGATTAGAGCTGTGCTCCCTGGTGTACTTATAGGTGCCTGCAGATTGTACCTGCAATTCCGCTAACTGCCCCTCTGAGCTTATGGCACCCTTACAGGGATCTCTATGGTCGATATAGTGTGCCATTGCTGCTGCGCTCGCAACCTGAGAGCTTTCCGAATCACCCTGCACCTAGAAACCTTGCCAAGCGAAGTTCATCCGGGCCCTCTTTATGTCCCGTGACACTCATCAAGAGGCATCATGTGGATAATCAAAGTGCTTTATGTGCAATTCATTTTGCAGTCAGCCCGTACCCTTCATTTGTGGATTTCACAGCGCTGCTCACCTCGGAGTATCTTCTAAAATTTGCGGGAAATATGAAGTGGCTTGACCGTGTTCTACTCTGGAAAATATATTATTCTAAAGAGGTCTCTGGGCACGTCCCAAACCGAACCAGATAAGCTTTGGGGCACTCTCAATGCCGGAATATGCGCGTGTATGTAAAGAGGGATCAAGAATTTGTTTGTATACCCAAGTGGTATCCTTCACACTGCGACTGCCTTATGGATCTTGTCAGTGATGCATAGACCGGGACAGACTATTCACAAATATCTCCAATATTCTACAAGAAGGTTGCACCAGGAGCTGCTCCCTAGTACACGTTAATTATACCCCGATGCCTTTATCTACTCACTGATACTCTTTAGAATGCACCAAAAAAATAGGAATGTGACGTCTACGTTCATCTAGACTTGGCTAGACATACTATGTACCTTACGGGGTCCCGTATATACTGGTGGGTATGACAGCTCACTATGGACATAATTATTCTAAGAGAGTCTAAGCAGTCTATATAATAGTTATAATTTCTCTAGACATTCCATAGCCAAAAATGACTCGTGTGAGATTGCCATGGTCTGATGTTGCGTGACACTTGAACAAGGACGAATAGAAGCGAATACGCACATTCAGTGTAAATTCAGAGACAATCGTGAGATTTGTACGAGATAAGTTTTTCCAAGATAACAAAAAAAGGTGCAACCGTGGTTCGAACACGGGACCCCTTGATTTGCAATCAAGTGCTCTAGCCACTGAGCTACTGCGCCAGTAAGGGCTAAGGTTCGTTCAGCTGCCTATTACGACCTACAGGATTGACCGCACCCAGATCACAACGCTCAGACACTCATCCACGGCTCAACTCTCGCAAATTGACAATGCCAATAGAATAGCAGATTTATTCCGCTCAAAAAATACATGTAATAACACAATAAAATAACGGCGAACCAGATCATGAAAGATACAGGAAACGCAGAGAAAACAACGCCAGCAATACATGTGCACACAAATCTTCCACATACTCCTCGAGAACCTCTCGTCAAAAGCAGCGTGAGGCTGCTTTTGATGGCCATCTGCTCTTTTGTTCTCGTCCTCCTCTTGGCATGCCATGGGGGGCCAGTAGCGGCAAGGGATATAGATCAACTCCATGCGTCTTGGACGTTATCGCACGCCCAGCTGGAGTAAGGTCTCCGAAACACGAGTGTCGAAATCTTGATCTTGCTTAGATGCGCGGACGCGCCCCAGGGCTGCCTTGATGTCCTGCGCTGATGGTTGAGGCGCAGGAAGAGCCTTTGCTAAATATCGTGCTGTCTCCTCGTCTGTATATAGAATATATCAAGATTATACGAGTAAAATGCAGAAACTGTGAGCTCGAGGTAACACTGAACGCCCAGACTCACCAGTAGGTTCAAAGGCACGAAGATGAACACTTGGGCAACTCGAATCCCGACAGTTTCCCGCTCCAGGAATTTCGAATTGGCAGATAGTGCGCTTGGGGTCGAGTTTGAGGATAGCCCCCTGTTTGAGCGGCCCTAATAGCGCTGGGAGCTGCTGTAAAACAGATCTATCTACGGAAAGAGAAAGTAACGGGAAAGTCAAAGAAGAAGACGAAGAGGTGTCAACTGTTTTAAAAGCATCCGAGACTGAAGCAGAGCGGAATGAAGCAAAGGGAGACAAAGGAGACTGGTATGTCGAGAAATAAAGCTTGGTCTGCCCGGTAATATTTGTGGCCTGTAACGAAGCGTCGACACGTTCCGAAGACTGTTGAGTACAAACCAAGGGCGGAAACGAGGCGATGGGCGATCGATGTAACCGACTACGCACCTCAGTTAATGAAAACCGTGCCACTTCACTTGTGTTTACTGATAGATCAAGTTCTTCGTCAACCTGTAAAACAAAAAGGCCAGCAAAACAAGAGCCAAAAAATTGCTTAGTACAATGAAACCAAACAAAAACGCTTTAGCGCTGTAAAACCGGAACGACGCTTGCCACTTGTTCGTGCCCAGCTTCTGCAGTCAATACTACCGATTCAAATGAGACAAACAATTCGAGAGAAAAGACAACGTTTACTTGCCCTGGTCTCCAAATCCCGCTTCATTCGTTTCTGACGTAGGTGTACCTGTTAACAAACATTCAGTGAGTTGAAGAGGGTTGAAAGATGGAAAATGATAAGCTAAAAACCGGTTGATATTGGAGTTGGCGTATGGGAGATATCCCTAATCGAAGCATCTGTGCATGGCTTTAGAAGTATTCATTACCAGAAGATCATTGATTCAAACCGGCAGGAAGAATATCATTCTTAACAGTGTCTTCTTCTTCCAAGATAATCCCGTTAGCGGGGACTGTGAAAGCTTCCTCGCTTTGAACAGTTGTATCTTGCTTCAAGTCACCCATAGTGCTTTGAATATCAGGCATATCAACAAGATCGGACTCTTCTTCCTCAATATCTTTGACAGGTGCTTCGGGTGGTGGAGACACGATCAGAGGCGGCGGTGTTAGGCTCTTTGACTACCACACAGCACTTGAGTAGTCAAATGTTTTTAAAGACTATAGATACATACCTGGCTTGCAAGCTTCTTAAGCCTGTTCTTCTCTCGCTCTGCAATTTTCTGTTTCATCTTCTTGATCTCTTCCTCCTTTTGAAGTAATACCTCTTCTGGTGTGGCGTTCATGGTGGCAAGAGGAGGAACTGGAGGATGGATGGGTTCTGGAGTTCCACTGCTGCTCAAATGTCCGCCAGTTTGAGACAAAAGGGGTTGGTGAGACGCGGCTCGCGAGGATGGACGGGCAGAATCCTCTGTGCCATCATCAACGATGCCTTCCATACAATCATCCCCTTCCGAATCAGAGAAGTCTATAATCAGCTTACGACTCGAGGTCAGATTCGAGAAACTCGGTGTCGAAGACAGTCCTCTGTTCAACCCATTGGAATTTAAACTTCCGCTAGTATTGTACCCAAACGAATTCGCATATGGATTATCGCGCACTGCGTCATCCACAAAGTCCGAAGCCACTGGACGCCTCGTTGAGTGTTTTCTTGGTGGGAGCATTGTTTGTTGATTTGACATAGATTGGGAATCACCTGATGATGATGCCGAGAATGGAAATGCATATTGCATGCTGGATGAAGTCGCGCCACGGGAGTCCTGAAGGAAACTGTCTTGGATAGAGACTTTGGAATCAACATCCATAAGCTCGAGAGATTTGGTTTGAACATGCTTCGAAGAATCGTCTGACGGACCCGTTTCCGATGTTATGCTCTTTAAAAAGTCGTCTACCGTTGCCAAAGGAACGGGCAATGGTCTTGGAGACCTTACTGTAGGCGGACGAGACCCAGAGACAGATGTAGCCAAACTAGCCTTGTTCTGCCCGGTAAAGGAATTTGTCTTGGGTCGTAAACTAGCCAGAACAGCCTTGCGCGCCAAAAGTTCCTTTCGTCGAAGTGTTTCGATCTCGTCAAGATTTCCACTATAACCATGAGTAGGAGTGTCATTTATATATACCGGACCAGTAGATTTGGATGGCGGGAACGATAATTGACTACCAGCTTGTTCCCCTGAAAGTCCTGGGTTCAAACTACCTTCATTAGATATGAAGCCATTCCTCGATGAAAACAGATGACCATTGGTGTGAGCAGTTGTGGGAAGATCAGTGGGACTTGAATGAGGAGTGGTGGATTTGGGTCTTGGCGGTAGAGGGTGGGCCGGAGATACCACGTGTACGCCAAGCTTAATAGATCCAGAAGAGTTTCCCGCGGAGACACGCCGCGAGCTCGAAGTATATGCGTCTGGAACGACACTAGATTTTGACGGCTGTTCGACAAGCTTGTTACCTTGGGACGCTTGCACTTGCTGTCGGCTTGGGTCTTGAAGAGTTGGCTTAGTCAGGACAGAGGCTGTGACGTATTCAGGGGGAGGACCGTAAGGAATGATTCCCTCCGCGTTGAAATTGACTGGGAGCCTATAAAAAGTCAATTAATGGCTAATAAAGACTGGAGCAACTATATCTACTTTAGATTGAGTTCCGAGAAGGCGTAAAAGAGGGCTTCTCGAGTCAAGCCACAATCCATGAAATAATCTGCAGGGACACCCCAGCCAAGTAAATCAAGAATGATGGACTTGGCTTCCAAAAACTCATCGGCCGTCACTAATGCGTGAGGTCAGATCATACAGTCAAGAGAGTACAGGAAGAGATGAATCTCACTGTCGAGCGCAGGCCGAGCGTGTGAAGGACTAACAACTAGACTGGGACGATGTCGCTCATCGTGCGATAAAGATACGACAGACTGTCTTGCTTGGAGAAATCGGGAATTAGATGACTTTCCCATAAATGTCTTTTCACTCTGGTGCCGTCGGTCGATATCAGATGATTGACTATGAGACGAGGTGAAACGGGGGATCTCGTCGGATATCGAGGCGGGAATAAACGCTGGAACCGAAGCATCAAGCGGTTTAGATGGAGCCATAGGCATGTGGAGCGGCGGTGACGAAGGCTTGTCGGTCAGCGGACGATCCGTTGGATGAGATTTTGATAACTTGCCAGATAAGGGTGCGGACATGGGTGGATGTCCGGTTGATTTGGCGAGGGATGGCGCCTGTGAGTGCGAGTTGATTACTGTTCCAGTGCGAGGAGAAGACACAGGGGTGGTGGGATCGACATTAAGCAGAAGAGAGGAAGCTTGAGAGGGAATATTTAATGGTTGTAGTACGGGAACAGATTCATTGTTTCCACCATCTTTTGGCTGCATTGCCGATGGTGAAATCAAGCCCGGTAGAGGCTCAGTGTCAATGTCCATTGGTACGGTATCCTTTGGGGGGGCAATTTCATCATCACTGATTTCACCCTCCTCCTTTTCGCCACCTAGGGGTTCATCTTCTTCAGTTGAACCTTCTGCATCAGCCAAGCCCTCGTCGGATCCATAATTAAGCTCCGGAGATGGAGGACCTCTTCGTGTTGCAGTAACAGACGAACCGTCGTCTGGACGGTCAGGTGAAGTGCGTCTTACTTGGGCTAGAGGTGCACGGCGTGGTCTTCTCTTAGATTTCAGGGTTAGAAGGGCAGCTGCTCTTAATGACGATACATCTGGAGCGGCGGATGACGTTGCTGAGGCCATGCTATGGTGTAGATGTGGGAAAGAACAGAGGAAAAGCTATGATAATGGTACTTCGAACTCCGCCGGAGCCCGGCACATACTGTATTTAGGGCGAACTCTATCTCTGTTTGTTTCTGACAAGTAAATTAGTTCTGTGGTACAATAATGATGAAAATGAAATTATTGTTGGATTATTATTAGGTGATGGTCATATTCAACGAAGATCTTTACTAGCAGTGTCATAATATTATCATGTTTCAAGACTTTGAGATAGATATATCCGCCTAACCCATCTCCGTTTCCTGGTCGTTGCCTGCGTCTTGGATTCAACTGAACTACGGGATTGCCACGTATCATCACAATATACCCAAGCAGCTAATAATGGTCAATATATACGTTGGTGATTCATATACCTCACTCACAATTATCTCTACCAGATGCTTCGACGGCTTCCCCTCTACCTAACCTCCAATTTTCTGTTTCGATAAACCTGTATTGGGCGGGTAAAGCAAAAGATATTGATCTTCAGGGTATTCAGTAGGATAGATTATACAACATGTAAGTGATACTAACCCATTGTCGATTTTTACAACTTCCCCCCATTGCCCATTACTTGTCCAAGCCTTTTCCGAAGGCCTCAAAGCGGATTTAGACCAGCCTACACTTGATTCCCATCGT